TCCGGCAATTGACCGAAACGCCGCTGTGCGCAACAGCGTAAGTATTGGTGTGAGCTCACCTACTGTGCGCAATAAAATGTTGCTGAAAAGAGTCCCGTGTTCAAGGAAACCAACTGCCTCGCGTAACATTGCACCTCAATGTCCCAGGGTCTGTGTGTAATGATCGGAGCGACGCCGCAGCTGTTGTCCATCTCTGGTACTACTGATGCTGCGATCACCGCTGCACGGTCCGTCGCTTCCGGCTTTCGCCGCCCCCACATCCACAGTTCCAATCGATCGTCCTTGTCGTAGTGCTGTGCAGCAGTTGACAATAATAACAGCGACTGTAGTGGCCGTCCACATGCGGTAACCACTTCCTTGAAACTGTCCGGACGAAAGGTCTGTTTGTACACGCACCGACACTCCTCCCTTACAGCTCTTTTTCTGTCGAGGTTTGTTGCATTCCTGGCCCTGCTCGCTCGCCGCACCGAAATACTACCGATGCTGAAAGACCGTCGGGTTGCGTTATCATCAGACTAGTACTCTCGACGGTACTTCCACTCATTCGTGCAATTTTTATTATAGAAGCACTGACCCAGGAACAGACAGGCACGATCATGAGGCGAAAGAACCTAGATGTAAGATACAAGCAAAGCTTCAGCTGCATGTTATACATACGCATAGATACATTAGCAAGAAATACTAAGATAGTCCGGGCAATTAGTGCCGATATTTCCCCGCTAGCAGTGTTACTGGGACGCTCCCACACGTCGAGCACAGTTATGCCGAGCTCTTCTTCGATCGTGAGTTGCATACTTCCAGTTGGCATCCACCGCCTTTTCGGTCTGTGTGCGCCACCTCGTCAGAAGCCGCCGAAGCGGTCGTTTATTTCCTCGCAAGTACCACTCGACGTCCACTAGCTGTCAGCAACACAGCCTACCCATCGGATTTTACTTTCTTGCGCGACCGCAATGACACTCCGCATGCCACTCATATGACGGAGAACCTCAATGTTTATGTGATCGCGAAGAGACACGCTAAACATCTTTCGCTTCATCGCTTTTGACCCAACAACCAGCGCTCACTGTTCAGTTTTCATCAGTGATTACATTTCGCATTTGTACGTCACTGCCTTCAGCGCTATGGCACAGTGGAGGTGAATACAGTCCTTCCACTGACACTAATGATCAATGTGAAATTTACGCCAATGGCAGCCCTACTACTTGCAGTTTTCGACTGAAGATTAGAGCACGTATTTGCTTTTTGGCCAGGAAAAACGTAACTGCTAGCTTCCTTCAACTCAACACTGCCTACATGCAGTCTAGCGTGGGTATGCCGACGCTTTGCATCACCTTCGCCTTCGACACGTTAATTTTCATGTTCACTCTTCAACATTCCTATGTCCCGCCATTTCTGAGCAAAACCGTTTTGCCATTCTTCAAGATCTGTTCTTCACCGCAGGGACATGTCGAGGACGTCGCATGATGTTCTATCTGTTTCCATTAGAAGTTTGTCTTTCGGAAGGGGCCTACAGTTGTAGGTTTACATCTATATACATATGCCTATATATATACGTATACATGTATACATAGATGTACACATATATATTATATATATATATACATATATATAAACACGAGGAATATGATAAAGAAAGCAGTAGCGTAAGCTCCAAAAATGTTTGTGGTAACTTAAAACTAGATTTCTTTTTGATTCTCTTCCTTCTTGTTATTTTGTTTTTATTACAAGGGCTTTTACGAACTCTGCTTCGTCTGAATCACTCACATCTAAACTGTATGAATGGTTTTTTCATAAAATGAGCAAAAGTTTTTTTTTTTGTTTTTTTGCGGTGTTTTAATTTGTATGCATTATAAGTTGTGTGAAAACAATGAGCTATAAAAAAAAAAGAAAAAAAAACCTGTCGAGTTCGCAAAGTTGCTTCATGCTGATAGTCTGGGTCCGTATGGAGAAATTGGTAAATCCGTTTTTTTTTTTGGTAGTGTGTGGTGTCAGACTCATTTCTTTTAGTTTTCCTATGTAGAGTTTTGTGATGAAACAGGCAGCTCGCATATTTCCGGATATTAATATTTATTTTAAGCATTCGCTTCCACATTTTATGCCAATATTTCTTTTCGACGGGCTCTTCTCTCTCTCTCTCTCTTCCTGTGTATATTCTCACGTAATGTTTGTTTTTTATAAATTGTACTTAAGACTGAGGACGCCACTGCCCTGGCTAAGTGCGCGCCTTCAGTATTGTTTTCAAAAAAGACTTGGAATGTGATGCTAAGTTGCCTAGAAACCCACCATTCAGATCTGAAGGAAGAAAA